CTGCCGCGCGGGCGCCCGGCACAAGTTCACGGCGCGGGCCGGAGCTGCTGCGGCCGCTCGGGTCGGGTCGGGTCGGGTCGGGTCGGGTCGGTGGGCGCCCCGCGCGAGCTCGCGCCCGGGCCGAGGCGGCATTGCCAGCGCCGGCTTTGTCAGTGGGGCATCGGGCTTAACTTGAGGTGACTTCAGCTGGGATACTTCGATTTTGGAGTTTGGGGTTTGCTATCACCCAGCATTTCTAACTGTTTCTTTCCTTTTTTGCCTTCTTCCTCTGGGACGTGGGCCGTGGGCCGTGGACTTAGTATTGGATCTTGGCGTTAGGTGTTTTTATGCAAGTTGTGTTTTCAGCAACTGGCCTTTTTTTTTTTTCTTACAGCATTATAATATTGGAAGGAAAAGTCTTGAGAATTTGGAGACTGTGCCCTTTAGCCCAAAGAGCTGTAAAACACCTTAACAATTGAAAATCCTAACCTGAGCCAGGTTTGGTGGTGCACACCTTTGATCCCAGCGCTCAGGAGGAGGCTGAGACAGGAAGATTGCCAGAAGTTTTGAGGTCAGTCTAGTAGACCCTAACTCAAAGAACAGAACAAAACAAAAAAATAAAATCCTAGCTTGTATTGGGAGTACAGTGAGCTAATTTTAAGGGAAGGAAATGGGCATGCCTTGTCGTTTGTTGTAGCTCAGCCTCCATATTCGAGAGGAAAGGGCTGGGGAGTGCTGGGGAGATGAGCCATGTCTGGGACCAGAAACGAGGTGGTTCCAGGAAAGTGTTTCGTCCTGGAAATCGCCCGCCTCCCGCACAGGCCGACTGTGTGCACACATCAGGTGGGGTTGGTTTGCGTGTTAGTGAGTTGGGGTGTGTCTGTTCGCTCCTCCTTATGCTCTCTTGTAAAGTGTGACTGTAAGCAAATCGAGTACAGCTCAGTGGGGACGTTCTTGCTGACTCAAACCTCCAAAGTTAGCTTTTTGAGCTCACATTGGCATTGGATAAGTTGGCCCCAAAAATAATGTAACCTGAGGACTTTGTAAATCCCAGGACCTTTTTGGCTAGTACATTGCAAAATTTCAAGAAATTCGTAATGAAGTCAGTGTCTCTAGACTGAGCCCCAGTGACTTGCTGGCGTGTCAGAAATGAGAAGCCAGGCATGGCCGTGCACTCCTGTAATAATTGCAGTCAGGAGGCCGAGGCAGGAGAGAGTTCGAGGCCAGCCCGGGCTCCAAAGTGAGTTCAAGACCAGTCTGAACTGCATACTAAGACCGGCCTCAAAAAAACAAACGAAAAAAGAAGGATCAGAAAATAGTGGGAAGTGTTAGCTCATTTAACCCTAGTCATGTGAGGCAGGTACAGTGATTACTGTCTGTCATGTTTTGTAGGTGAGTTAACTAAGATTCGGGTTAACTCATTTGTTCCTGATTTCAGTGTTATTTGGTAGATTTGATATGGGACCTCCAGATGACATAGGGAAAGTAAATGTAACTCCCAGCCGGCTAGATGTCTGATACCCCAAGTTCTTGGGCCCCAAAGTCGAAGGATGAAGTCTAAGGAACTAAGAGTAGGAACATTTATTGGGGAAAAGGAATGGGGAATAGGAATAGCTCCTGAGAGACAGGAGTCCTGAGTGGGTTACCAGTGAGCCCACTTCTCAAAGGAAGTTTTATAGAGCAAAGTCAGTAGGCAGGTACAACCTGGGACAAAATAACCAATAAGACTGCAGGTATAGTTGCTAAGTAACATTGATCCAGTGTGGAAGCAGGTCGCATAGCAAATATATGTGGATGACATCATTAACCTTGAGTGATAATCTATAGTCTTAGTCTTGTCTTTAGTTTTAGCCGACTTCGTGGGTGGGAGAGGAGGGCTACCTCTAATGAGCTAATGGTTTATTTATACTGGAAATCTCAAAGGGGTGGTACCCACAACCTCAAGCTACCATTTATCCCATAGGGAGGTGTGTAAATCTGGCCATTGTGATTTTAATCTTAAGATGCGCCTCCAGCCACAGTTGTGATGTGTTCTCATCTTCTGCACTGACTCCCTTGAGGGCCGAGCCCTGTCTGATTGCCTAGAATATTTCTTCCTAACTTAGCTGTCTATAATAGATTCAGAGCCAGCCTGCTTGATTCCAGAGCCAGTGTTCTGTGCCATTATGCTTTGCCACCTCACAGTAAAACTTAAGAGACTGGTAGGAAGAGTCTAATCGGTGAAAATAATACTGCAAAACCATAAACTAAATCTGGTACTGTACCGATTTGATAGCACTTCCTGATCATTTTATAACAGGCACTGTTTAGTGTTGCTGAGGATGTAGGGATGGAGTCATTCTCCTCTTTGAGATTCTGTTTAGGGCTAAGGATAGCTATTTGAACAAATGGTGATAATATAGTATATACCAAAAGAGTACTATAGCATGTGTGGTTTCATTGAAAGATAATTTAAAGTGTGGACATAGATTTGGCTTTTGAGACAGCCCTTGGGAGGATAAGGCCGTGATCCTCCTGCCTCATCTCCCAAGGGCTGAGATTACAAGTGTGCATCTCCTTTGGAGTAGTATCCTTCTTACTAATCAGATAAGGAAATGATTTAGCACCCTGCATAGGCTACCACACCCTGCTAGACACAATAGGTTAGAGTACTGTTGGGCTTTGTGACTTTCAAATGCTGAATCTTTCAGCGTCAATTTCCTTTTCTATTTGGTGGGGAAGATAAGACTTCAAAGGAGACCTAGACCTATAACCCCAGCCCTAGGGAAGATGAGAAAGGAGGATCACAATGTGTTGGAGGCCAGCCTGCAGAAACACAAAACAAGAGGTATTTTTGAAGACTGTCTTTAAATAAATGGTGGTTTATGTGAAAGTGGCTGGGCAAATTGAGTACCACCCAGTATTGGTGGTTAGAAATTGCATACTTAAATACTAAAATTATAGATGCACATTGCCTGTTGGTATATTGTTATGTAATTTTTGTCATTCAATACTTATTTTCCAAATGCCAATTAAATCTCTTGTTTACACACTGTCCAGCTAAGCAACTGATTCATTACTATATTGAGATAGTCCATCCTAAGCTGTAAGAATCCGAACACTGCCAGAGCTGTATGCGCTTGGCTTGTGGAAGATACTTTAGGATTGGTTGTGAAAAACATCTCAGTGACTGTTGTCACCCTTAACCTCTCTACCTGGTCTGTAGTCGACAGACTCAAAATTGCAAACTCTCCTTTGCTTGTATGGTAACTATCTTTTCTTAACCCCAGTTTGAATGAGAGTGTTTAAAATTGGGACTGCCTTTGAAGAATCTGAGAAGTAAGTTTCACACTGTATTGTATCTTCCTCTCAGTGTAGCATACAGTGTACAGTTTACCATCCCTACATATGTTGAATGTGCAAGTGTGTGAATCCTCACTTGATGACCGGAATCACACGATTTTGAAAATGTTGCATGACAGCTGCATTTTTTGTCCGGCTTGTTGGCCTAATACAATTGCTAAAAGAAGGTGCATTTTCAGATGAGATCAACTGGCCACTTCCTAGAACAGGAAGTTTTTGAGCGCTAGGAAAGAAAGAAAATATGCTGGATTTCATTCTGAGCAGTGTGTCAGAGCTGGGCAGGAAATGGCTGTGGTTGAAGACTACCTGATAATCACAGCATGATTAAATTTGACGTTTAATGAGAGGAAGTTGAAGAAAAAACGCATGCGATGCAGCTTTCCAGCTACAGAACCAGTAGGGGAAAGGGGCTGCTCAGAGTATCTAGAAGACGCGGAAGGTACTGATATGTGTTGCATAAATAAATTACGTTAGTAAAATACTCACTACAGGATCTGTTACTGATAGCAAAAATTAAAGGAAACTACATGGCACAAGTTTCAGCACCCTGTCGAGGGAGACTCCGGTCCCAGTGGTGCCGTCTCCCCTTCTGTGACTTCAGACTTACGTTGCAGCTCAGGCTGGCCTCAGACCCACTCTGCAGCAGGGGCCGGCCTGGACCTTGCTGCAGTCCTCCCGGTGCTCGGATTGCAGGTGTGCACCGCCATGCCTGGCTTTTAAAAACATCTTGAGATTCTCACGAAATTGTCCAAGGTGGGCTCAGACTTTCCCGCCTCACTCTCCTGGAGCACTGGGATTAGGAGTGTGTGCTACCCTGTCTGGTTTGTAGGAAGGATTTTACCTACCAGTTTTGTTTTCTTTTTTAGTAAATAAAGGACTGTTCAGTTCATTTCTCCTTGTGTTAGCATTGTATCTTTGAAGAGATTTTTCATCTAATTTGTTAGGTCCATTGGCATAAAATTGTTTATAATATTCTATTATCATTTTAATGTCTGTGAGATCTGTAGTTATTTTTGACTGGAAATTTGTGTCTTTTCTGTTTTTTTCTCCTGTTTAGTCTGGCTAGAGGTTAGCTTGTTTTTGATCTTAAAGAATTGGCTTTTGTTTTTCTGTGTTGATTTTCTGTAGTTTCTATGTTTTATTACTTCCTTTTCTGTTGTTTACATTTTATTTGCCTTTAAATTACTCATATGTTAAGATAGAAATTTAGCTCCTTAATTTGAAACCTTTATTCTCCTCTAAGATAAGTGTTTAATGCTATAAAATTCCCTTAAACAACCAGGCATGGTGGTACAAACCTATAATCCTAGCACTTGGGAAGCTGAGGCAGGAGGATTGCTGAGTTCAAGGCCAGCCTGGGCTACATATTGAGACCCTGTCTTAAAAAACCACAAACAATTCCCTTAAATAATATTTTGAATGCATCCTACAGATTTTGAAATGTTTTCATTTTCATTCATGTTCAAAATCTTTGTTTTTTTTCCTTTGTGATTTCTTTAACTTCTTTGGTTAATTAGAATATATGAGTTTCTTTCTCTTTTCTTCCTTTCTTTGTTTCTTTTTTTTTTGAAACAGGGTCTAGCTCTCTAGTACAGACTGGCCTTGAACTCACTGTGTAGCCCAGGCTGGCCTTGAACTGGCTACAGTCCTCCTGTCTCAGGCTCCTGAGGCATATGCCACTATTTCTGGCTGTAAGAATATCTACTACTTGGAGATGTTTCAGATTTTTTTCAGTTACTGATGTCTAATTTAATTTCACTTTGTTTGAAGACTGTGCATTGTGTGAGTTGATTCATTTTAAGTGATTTGTCTGAGTATGCGATGCTTTTAAATGGTACATGTGCCCTTGAAAAGACTGCTGCATGTACTATTCTATAAATATCAATCAGGTCAAGTTGGTTGATCACATAGTTCATGTCTTACATATCCTTGTTATTTCTGTCTGCTTAGTCCATCAGTTTTTGAGAGATGGGTATAAAAATCTGTAATTGTGAACTCGCTGCCTTTTTTTCCTTGCAGTCCTGTCAGTTTTTGCCTCCTTTATTTGAAGTTCAGGCTGTTCATGCGCATGTATATTGAGGCTTTTATGATCTCTTCATGATTTGGATTTACTATTGTGAAATTTCTTTCATTATCCCTGATAATATACTCAGCTTTCCTTTGAGTAGTATTAGCATGGTGTGTTGTTTTATTTTTAATCTATTTTGTGTTTATATTTAAGGTAGGTTT